TCTGAGGCCAGATTTGAACTCAGGTCCTCCTGACTCCAGGGCCATCTAGTTGCCCCTGTGCCACCTAGCTGCCTTGCTTGTCTTTTCAAGAAGGAGGGAAGAGAAAGAGAGAGGGAGAGAATTTAGAATTCAAAATCTTTTTTATTCTTTTAATATTTTATTTTCCCCCAATTACATGTAAAAACAATTTTTAATATTCTTGGGTTTTTTTTAAGTTTTGAGTCCCACTAATGCATTGTTGGTGGAATTGTGAACTGAGCCAACCATTCTGGAAACAGTTTGGAACTATGCCCAAAGGCCTATAAAACTGTGCATACCCTTTTGACCTAGTAGTACCACTACTAAGTCTGTATCCCAAAGAGATCATAAAAAAGGGGAAAGGATCCACATGTACAAAAATATTTATAGTAGCTCTTTTTGTGGTGGCAAAGAATCAGAAATTGAGGGGATATTCAGCAGTTGGGGAGTGGCTGAACAAGTTGTGGTAAATGAATGTAATTGAATACTATTGGGCTATAAGAAATGATGAGCAGGCAGATTTCAGAAAAACCTGGAAAGACTTACATGAACTGATGCTGAGTGATGTGAGCAGAACCAGGAGAACATTATACATAGTAATAGCCACATTGTGCAATGATCAGCCTTGATAGACTTGGCTTTTCTCAGCAATACAATGATCTAAGACAATTCCAAAAAACTCCTGATGAAAAATGCTATCCACATCCACAGAAAGAACTATGGAGTCTGAATGCATATCAAAGCATACTATTTTCACTTTTTTTCTTTCTTGTGATTTTCCTTTTTTGTTCTGATTCTTATTCCAGAACATGGCTAATGTGGAAATATTTTTTGAAAATTTTGAATTCCAAATTCTATCCCTCTTTCCTTTCCTTCCTCCTCCTTCCTGAGACAGTAAACAATCTGATATAGGTTATACATGTGCAATCATGTAAAAATATTTCCATATTATTTTGTGCAAGAAGACTCAAAGAAGAAAGGAAGGCAGGAAGGCAGGAAGGCAAGGAAGGAAGGAAGGAAGGAAGGAAGGAAGGAAGGAAGGAAGGAAGGAAGGAAGGAAAGAAAGAAGGAAGGAAGGAAGGAGTGAAGGAAGGAAGGAAGGAAGGAAGGAGTGAAGGAAAGAAAGCAAGAGTGAAGGAAAGAAAGAAAGAGTGAAGGAAAGAGTATGCTTCAGTCTGTATTCAGACAATATCAGTTCTCTCTTTGGAGGCAGATAGCATTTTCCATCAAAAGTTCTTTGGGATTGTCTTGGATCATTGTATTGCTGAGAACAGTTAAGTCATCCACAGTTGTTCATTATACAAAGTTGCTGTTACTATATACAGTGTTATCCTGGTTCTGCTCACTTTACTTTGTATAGTTCATATAAGTCTTTCTAGGTTTTTCTGAAATCATCCTGCTTGTCATTTCTCATAGCACAATAATATTCCATTACAATCACACACTTGTTTAGCCATTCCCCAATTGATGGGCATCCCCTCAATTTCCATTCTTAGCTACCATAAAAACAGAGTGGCTGTAAGTATTTTTGCACAAAGAGGTCTTTTTCTTATCTTTTTTGTTTCTTTGAGATACAGACTTCAAAGTGGTATTGCTGGATCAAAGGGTATGCACAGCTTTATGCCTCCTTATTTCTCTCCCTTTGTACCTATTCCCCTGCCAGTAGTTTTACATTCTGGCCTTAGAGAATAATGTAAAAATGTAAAAAAAAAAACAATGAATGTTAAAAATTATTTTTACATGTAATTGAGAAGAAATAAATTTTTAAAAAGAAAAGAAAAAAAAAGAATGACCTTTCTTGTCTTGAAAGATAGCTTTTAATCCCTTTTCTGCTGGTGGCCCCTTCACAAGAAGAAGAGACTCCAAATTTTAACCATCACTTCTTGTAGTTACGAAGAGAACTCGGTGATCCAAGTCTGGAGTCTCCATCTCTTTCCAGTCCTCCCTCCTACTCTCTGATGTGGAGCTGAAAACCCAGATTCCCCACAAGCTTCTCCCTCACAGGGAATCCTCCCAAATTCTCCCTCACAGGGTCTTGGGCCATCTGATCTTCCTGGTACCTAGTTCTTCCTAGGTATGAGAAGAGGCTGCTTTGTATGGGAAGAGTATTGGAGTGGGAGTTTGGAGAGTTAGGTTCAAATACTGACTCTTCCACTTATTACCTGTGAATTGCCATTCACTTCACCTCTCTTTGCCTCAGTTTCCTCATATGTAAAATGATTCTTGTATTCTCTATCCTCAGAGTGGTTATAAACCCTGCAATAAATACTATCAGAATATTAGCTATGATGATTATTATTATTGTCAGGGTAGGAGGACTGAGAACTGCTTTTGCTTTTTGACCGTGCCTCACACCAGGAAAGAACTGAGTTCCCAAGGTTATTGTATGTAAGAGGAATTTTCCCCTTTTTTTAATTAAAAAAATTATTTTCAGTTCTGAATTCTCACCCTGTCTCTAGCTCCTTCCCCATGTATCAAGGAGAGAGATATGATACCTATCACATATATGGAGTCATTCAAAACACATTTCCACATTAGCCATGTTGTGAAAAAGAAAAAAAGCAAGAAAAAGAAAGTAAAAGATGAATAGAGTGAGAGAAAATATGCTTCAATCTGCCCTTAGACTTCATCAGTTCTCTCTCTGGAGGTGGATGGCATTTTTCATCATGAGTCTTTTGGAATTGTTATGGATCATTGTATCGATCAGCATAGCTAAGGCTTTCACAGTTGCTCATCGTTAGGATATTGCTGTTACTCTGTACAATGTTCTTCTAATTTTGCTAAGAAGAATTTTTTTCAATTCAAGTTTTATGCCTCCTTATTTCTCTCCCTTTGTACCTATTCCCCTGCCAGTAGTCTTACATTCTGGCCTTAGAGAATAGCTTTCATTTGTCCAGACTGGTGAGATAGTATGGCACATCGGAAAGAGGGCCAGATTTTCAATCAAAGGGGCCTGAGTAAAATTATAGTTCTGTTACTATCTGTGTGATCCTGGACAAGCCATTTCAATCCTCTCTGGGCCTCAGTTTCCTTAGCTGTAAAAAGAGGGAGTTCAACTATTTGATTTCTCAGGTCTTTCAGTTGTAAGTCTATGATCCTGATATTCTTTAGTGAAAAGTGGTTTCCACCCTTGTGCCTTTAAGGTTCTCTTTCCCCTCTTAACTGCTCAGTCCTTAACTTAGAGGCACTAGGAACACCCTGGACCATTGTAAACCAAATAATTCTCTTTGGTAATGTGAATAATCTTCATAAAGTGAGTAGTTAACTTAGTTTGGCATTTCAATATTGACATTTCCCAAAGCAAAGCACAACTGTATGTGGGATGACCTCATTCTCCAGTCAGCTTCCTTCACAAACTTCCCATCAAGTCTACACAAGGCTTTGGCTCAGTACCATGCTCATTTAAAATTTCTAGGAGATCCTCTATTCCTCTATTGCAGCATTCCTTCGTGCCATCCTTTTCCCTTTCTCTGCCTAGAGCCAAAGGCTAATAGACCATCTAGTTCAATATAATTTTACAAAAACGGAAACTGAGCTCTCAAGAATTCCTTACTCACTAGCCCTTTTCTCTGACCATATAATATATATATATATATATATATATATAATATATATATATATATATATATTATAATATATATATATATATATTATATATATTATTTCCTAATTAATTAACTTATTTTTGGTGAGGCAATCAGGGTTGCCTGAGAATGGATTTGAACTCAGGTCCTCCTGACTCCAAGGCCGGAGCTCTATCTACTGTGCCACCTAGCTGTCCTTATCTCCGACCATATCTTTTCCCTAAAGTATTCCTCTAGGCTCTATTCTTCATCTGGAATTTTCCACCTCTGCCTAATACAGTCTAACTCATAGAACTCCAGAGGATGGGACCTTAGAGATCCAATCTGCTGGTCAGAGAGACCAGCTCTTAAAAATATCTTCTTTATCTGTTCTGACTCTCTCATTTCATGTTCTACCTTTCATTCCAGCAGCTTAGGAAATTTCTCCTCTTCTAAGAAGTCTTTGCAGAAAACATAGGATGGAGGCAGTTCAGTGGCACAGTGGATAGGGTAGTGGCTCTGGAGTCAGGAGGACCTGAGTTCAAATGTGACCTCAGACACATAACACTCTCTAGCTGTGTGACCCTGGGCAAGTCACTTAACCCCAATTGCCCTCACAAAAAAACAGGATGATAGATTTGGAACTGACAGGGACCTTGGAGGTCATCTAACCCAAATCTTTTTTTTTTTTAATACAGATGAAGAATTCAAGGCCCAAAGGTTGAGGGACTTGACCAAGGTCAGACAGGAAGTAGCAGTGTAAGGGTTTGAACCAAGGTCCCCTGATTCCAAATTCAATGTTCTTTTCACTACTGTGAAGAGAGGTATAGCATATTCCCTCCTTATGTAATTTGGCAAAAATCTTCTAATATGAACTGATTAAGTCTCTGTCAGTACAGAAACATAATATCAGTTTTTGTTTGTCTAGCTGATGGGACAGAGTAGACAGTGTTTGGTTGGTGAGCAGTGCTAGTTATTCCGTTTGGGCTAGCCCCTCCCCACCATTCTTTCCCATTCTCCATTTCTCCATTCTTCCACAGAACCTTCTTTCAAGTGTAAGGTTCTCTCTAGTCAAAAGACTTTCAACTCTGCTCCGGGGGAAATGGTTTTCAAATCTATACCGGCAGAAAAACAGGAATGAGATACCTGTGGTTACAGCCCCCAGAAGGGCTACTCCACCTCAGTTATATAACTCCCTTCACCAGGACTGCTGGCTCATATATGTCTAGGTATTGGTCTGGATTTTCTCTCTTTGGGAAACTATAAAAATATAAATCAATAAAATCTCTTTCATTCACTGTGTCCCCAGTTTTGCCAGGAAATTTCTAGTCATAATAAGATCTATCTCTTTACCTGTGTATCTCACCATCCAGTGCCACCCCCTGGACTTCATTTGCCCCAAGGACACAGACACACAAATCAGTAACTCAGTGAATTTATTATCTCAGAGAAACAAGTTTCTTTTCAAACAAATTAGGAAGCAAGCTCATCTCTCCCTTGAGAGGTTGAGAGAATGGAATAGGAGAGTAAAAATCATCAGTTCTGTCTTAGCAGCAAAGTGGGTAGGGAACTCTGTGTTTGTTCTTTGTGGCTTCTGCTCAGCCCTGGTCATATTCCCCTTTGTATCAGTGTTAAAGCCTTCTCTTCTCCATCCCTGGACCACCACCTCTTTGATGCTGTGATGCTTAAAGGAAGCCGCTCTGCTTGCCTGCCCCAGCAGTGACACTAGGTCCAGCTCAGGGTGGTGATGGCTTGGGTGAGACAGTGTGGCAGCTTAAGACTCCAGCCTCCTCCTTGCCAGACTTTCATCCTCGCACTTTTCTCACATCTTACCTCTCTAAGACGTATGCTCCCCTAACCCCTTAGGATGAGAGATAGACTAGCTTTTTAGACACTGTCTCAACCCATTCAGTCATGGGGTCAAGGCATGCTGTATATTTTTTGTTCTGACTAGCAGGTGTCTATCCTGGTCCCACTCCCACTCTTTGACAGTTCCTGAGGGCTGCTACATTCCATTATGTATTTAATTAATCTTCTGCTCTTTCATGTGTGTCTTCTACGCATCTATCTGTGACTGTGTATTTATTCCAGGCTGGGGACTTCTTAAAAGCTGAAGCTCTAGGAGTGCTCTTGGTGTGATGGAAGAGACTTGGGCCCTGACCTCAGAGAGCTTGAAGCCTGATGGGGCACGTAGACTTCTCAAGTATGAGAAATTACAGAGTTGATTTCCCAGCCAAGTTGAGTGCAACATGTACATATTGAACATAGAGATAAACATTAGGTGGGGAAACATTTGATACCTCCTATATTTCATTCAAGAGGGCTTCATAGAAGATGTTGATCCTGACTAGGACTTTAAAAGGGAGGAGTGATTAGTCTGGTGTCTGGAAATGGAGATTGTTCCAACTATAGGGAACAATATCATCAGACCACTTGTTCCCATAAGGTAAAGATGAGGCAGTCATGTACTTAGAATACCCATCCATCAGCCCCCCAATAATGGGCTCAAAGTTCTTCCCTTGTTTGGCCAAGATCCAGCAACATCTTCATCTGGTGGGGTCAGGAGGGAAGGAATTTCTGCATGTTGACCCTCAGTCCCAGCAGTTAGATCCTTGACCTCCTAGGTTGGTTCCCAAGGTCAGTACTGTTTGTGGCTGTGATCCCCAGAGCCCGGAGATGGCTACAGGTCATCAGCACATCAAATATAAGCAGCTTGAAGAGGATGAGCCGAATGGCCCCTAGGATCAGTGTCTGCAAGAGGCTGTGTGGTCCTGGCAAAAGAAACAAGAAAGTCAAGAAATGCCTGGGACAAAGCAGTTTGGAAATATGCTTCCCAAATTACTAAACTGTGAATATCTTTTGACTCACTGATACCAATACTAAGCCTATACAACAAAGAGATCAGAGAAAGAGGAAAAAGACCCAAATGTACAAAAATATTTATAGCAACTCTTTTTGTGGTGGCAAAAACCAGGAAATGCATGGGGTACCCGTATGTTGGGAAATGGTTGAATGTAATAGAATATTATTATGTTATAATTAAAGATGAAAGTGACAGTTACAGAGAAACCTGTAAAGACTTGTATGAATCGATGCAGAATGAAATAAGCAGAACCAGGAGGACAATTTATTTAATAACAACATTGTAAAGACAAGCAGCTAGGTGGTGCAGTTGATATAGTGCCAGGCGTGGAGTCAGAAAGAACCCCAAATGGAGTCACAAAGAGTTGGACAAAACTGAAAAATGACTAAATAACAAAGACTTTGAAAAACTTAGGAACTCTCATCAATGCAATGAGAGGGATGGAGAGGATTCTTTCCCATTTTACATGTAAGGGAACTGATTTTTGATTCAACCCCTAGTCCATAAAGCCCAGAATATAATAACAAGTTGTTAAATCATCTGTAAAGAAGTATCTATGCCATGAGGTCTTTGGGATATGGGAATATATTTCTTTGAGTGAACTAAAGGAACAAACCTTATTGAACAAGCATGATTTTAAATAAAGAACAAAACTTCAGTTCCCAGGGAGTCAAGGCTCAATTAGCTTTGTGAAGAGACTGTTTTGTAGAGGTCTCTGTCCTCTTTCCCCCTCTTTTCTCCATAGTCGGGGCATCTAACAGTGACTTGCCCAGAGGGAACTACCTTATCTAGCAGGTCAAGAGTTGGTTGGTTTGGGAGAATATGAAGTACAATTAAGGAAACAGAGACACATACTCCAGACAGACGTGAATACAGAGGGAAGAAGCAGCTTCAAGGAAAGGGCTCCCTGGCAGCAGAGAACAGAGCTGGCTATATAGAAGATCAGATCTTGGGAACCCAGCCTGAGGACATTATAAATTACAGAGACAAAGGACTTCCAGGCCCAGAAGTGTCATGAATTTTAAGTTATTTTTACCCCAAGTGTGTCTCAATACCACTGTACTCAAAGGTTGAGCTCACTTTTCCCAAGGATTCTGTGTATAGTTGAGGGAGAATGTACTCCAGATCCACATGGGAAATGTTGCATAGGTAGTGTCATTATTCAATCTGAATAAAAGCCTCTGCTAAGAGCTAATTGTTTCTACCAGCTGCCTATTAATGGGAAGCATGCAGGTTGAGGTTCGTGAGCTATACTAATAGTAGGGTAGCCCTACAGATTATGCCTCTGAACACTGAAGCAATTAGTAGTCAGTCTCTGGACTTCCAACCCTCATCAGGTTAGGAGAGTAATCCAGAGGGGGATGCTATGTATAGATAGGCCAACTGAAGCAGCCCAGATGGGGTCAGTGCTTTGCCCCAGGGTTACCCAGTGAGTCAGCATAATCTAAGCCTATCTCTGATGAGGATCCATAAAAAGTCAAGGCTGATTACCACCACCCAAAGCACTTTGGTTTCAATAGGACACAAGCGTTCTGGCCTCCAAACTAGCCCTCCTATCACTCACCAGTGGTTGGCTCCTGCTGGCACTTTTCTCTCATGGGCTTACCTGCCAAAACCAAATTAAAAGGGTTAAATCCTTGGGAACCTTGTTGCATTCAGCTAGATTGTAAGCTCTTTGAGGACAGGGACTATGTCATATTTCTTTATATCATCAGCATAGTATAGTAGAAAGCACCTTGGATTTAGAGTCAGAGGACTTGGGTTCAAATCCTTACTCTTCCATCTATTATCTATGGGATCTTGGACAAATTATTTAACCTTTCTATGTCCCAGCTCCCTCATTTTAGCTAGTCTAAATGGCATCCAAGGCTCTTTCTAGCCAAGAACCCTGTGAGCCTTGGTAAGTTCTTATGAAGAAACAGTTATTATTCTTATGCTGCAGATAAGGTACCTGAAGCATAATAAACATTTGTGGAAGGCAAAATTCCCCCTATGGGTGAGGATTCACTTGCTCAGTTTTCCCTTCTCTAAAGACTTTCCCTTGGCCTCTCTTGCATTCATAGCATAGTACTTTATGCTTTTAACTTTTTTTTTCCTCCAAGTACTTTCACATGTCATCTAATGCAAACAACAGTTCTGTGAAAGAGACATTGTAGGTATTATTTCCACTAGACAGATGAAGCATCTTAGGTTCAGGGAAGAAAACTGACTTGTTTAAGGTCAAATAAGAAGTTAATTCTGGCTAATCTAGAATAGACTCAGCTTGGAAATCCTAACTAATTAGTCCAAATTGAAGTCTGGAGCTTTCCCTGACTTCCTCCATCTGTTTTTTTTTTTTTTGGAAGACTGGGGTCAAGGGAGGGAGAGTACCAGGAGATAAGGAACTAGAGAATGTTTAAACTCTAAGGTCCATCAAGACAGGTCCTCATCTTCATACAGAGTCTAGCCCTAGGGAATGATGCTGCTCCCTTAGACCCATACCAGATAGCTGAAGAGGACGGGTGCGTGGGCCCTGATCCTGCCAGCCTGGCCCTGTGTGGCAGACTAGAGGTTCCCAGGAAGCCAGCTCCTCATCAGGAAGGGAAAGCTGGGCCAGGCTGCTCCAGGTGCCATCTCCAGCTGGTGAGGGGCCATAAGTGAAGGCATCCAAGGTGGTGCCATTGCCAGATGAGAACCAGATGGAGCCATCCACAAATGAAGGAGAGACATCAAAAACCAGGCAGATGACCAGTGTCTTCTGTTTCCCATCTACCAACAGGGTGAGTGGGGGAGCCATTGATGGGAAAGGAGCAGTATACACACCTGGGGGAAGACAAACATGTGTAAGTTGGCATTGACTTGGAAGACCTGAATTCAAATCCTATTTCTTTCTTTCTTTTTTTAAATAATTAATTATTTTTTAGTTTTCAACATTCACTTCCATAAGATTATTATTTTTTTTTTTTTGGTGAGGCAATTGGGGTTAAGTGACTTGCCCAGAGTCACACACCTAGTGAGTGATATGTGTCTGAGGCTGGATTTGAACTCAGGTCCTCTTGACTCCAGGGCCGGTGCTCTATCTACTGTGCCACCTAGCTACCCCCATAAGATTTTGAGTTTTAAATTTTCTCCCCCTTCCTCTCTTCCCCCCTCCCCAAGACAGTGTCAATCTGATATACTCCACTTATACACTCATATTAAGCATATTTTCACATTAGTCATAATGTAAAGAAGAATTAGAACCAATGGGGGGAACCAGGAGACTGAAGCAATAAAACAAAACAACAAAAGAAAAGGAGAGCAAATAGTATGCTTCCATCTGCATTCAGATTCCATAGTTCTTTCTCTGGATGTGGATAGCATTTTCCATCATGAGTCTTTTGGAGTTGTCTTAGATCCTTGCATGGCTGAGAAAAGCCAAGTCTATCAAAGTCAGTCATTGCATAGGGTGGCTGTTACTATGTACAGTGTTCTCCTGGTTCTGCTCACTTCACTCAGCATCAGTTCATCTAAGTCTTTCCAGGTTTTTCTGAAGTCCACCTGCTCGTCATTTCTTATAGCACACAATAGTATTCCGTTACATTTATATACCACAGCTTGTTTAGCCATTCCCCAATTGATGGGCATCCCCTCAGTTTCCAACTCTTGGCCACCACAAACAGAGCTGCTATAAATATTTTTGTACATGTGGGTCCTTTTCCTGTTTTTATGATCTCTTTGGGAAATAGCCCTAGAAGTGCTATTGCTGGGTCAAAGGGTATGCACAGTTTTATAGCCCTTTGAGCATAGTTCCAAATTGCTCTCCAGAATGGTTGGATCAATTCACAACCCCACCAACAATGTATTAGTGTTCCAATTTTCCCACATCTTCTCCAACATTTATCATTTTCCTGTTTTGTCATGTTAGCCAATTGCTAGGTGTGATGTGGTACCTCAGAGTTGTTTTGATTTGTATTTCTTTAATTAATAGTGATTTAGAGCATTTTTTTATATTACTATAAATAGCTTTAATGTCTTCCTCTGAAAACTGCCTGTTCATATCCTTTGACCATTTATCAATTGGAGAATGACTTGTATTCTTATAAATTTGACTCAGTTTTCTATATATTTTAGAAATGAAGCCTTTATCAGAGACACTGGTTGTAAAAATTCTTTCCCTGTTTTCCGCTTCCTTCCTAATCTTGGTTGCATTGGCTTTGTTTGTGCAAAAACTTTTCAATTTAATGTAATCAAAATAATCCATTTTCCATTTCATAATGTTTTCTATCTCTTGCTTGGTCATAATCAATCCTATTTCAGAGACTTACTAGCTGTGTAACTCTAGGCAAATCATTTAACTTCTCTCAGCCTTAGTAAAAGGGGATTAATAATAAAGCAGCGTTCTTTGTGAAGGTCAACTAAAATGAGTTATGTAAACCACTGTGTAAACCTTAAAACTCAATATAAATGCTAACTATCGCTATTAATTTAGGGAGTTGGGCTGTATAATCTCTAAGGTTCTTCCCAGCTCTGACCTTTAACGTCTTGTGTTCTGACATTCCATATTCCAAGGTCTCTTTCAGCTCTAACATTCTGTGCTATAACATTCCATGTTCTATGGCCCCTTCTAGTCTTAATATTCTATCTTCTGTGCTCTGACATTCTATATTCTAAGATTCCTTCCAGTTTTGGCATTCTCTCTCTATGAATCCACGGTCCTGGGAGCCTATGAATGAGGTGGGCTCCCAGAACCTCACCCTCCTTTGCTTTGGAGAGTCTATGGTCTTCCAGATGCATAGAAGGCCAGAGCCCTTCTCTTCTCACTACCTATTGACTTGTCCATTCAAGACTAAATTTAGTTCTAACCTTTTCCATGAAGTCTTTCTAGATTACTTTAGCCTACATTGATTTCTCTCTTTTCTGACCTCCTTTTTTAATTTTTTTTTTTAATTTGGAAGCAATTGTCATTAAGTGACTTGCCCAGGGTTGCACAGCTAGTCAGTGTCTGAGGCCACATTTGAACTCAGGTCCTCTTGATTCCAGGGCCAGTGCTGTATCCACTGAGCTGACTTCCATTTATATTTAGGTCTAAACCACACCATCTCTAACTCAATTGTTCACCATCTCTTCTGTTTTCTTGCTTTATGTATATGTATTCTGACACGCCAACAAGACTCTGCTCCCAGAGGGCAGGAGGATATGAGGACCGAGTGACCACCAGTCACAGAGGTTGGAGGAGCATCAGAACACTTAGTAGTCCAGTTTGGCTGGAATTGTAGAATGTCAAAAGAAGAAAAGCAAAATAAATCTAGAAAGTTAGGTTGAGGCCAGATTATAGAAGGCCTTGAAAGCCAGGTTAAGAACATGGTTTTGTTTTAGATACAATAGGCAATCAATCTGTCATTGATGGAGATGACAGACTGACTCCAGGCTGGATCTAAAACCTCCCTACTCTTTTGTTTGTCTTTAACATTAAGGACCAAGAGCCTGGGAGCCTCCCCAGGGCATGGTACCTAGGGTGGGAAGGAAAAGAGACAGAGTGAATGAATGGGATCTATAGGATTCCTGACAGGAGAACTTCAGTTACCCATTTCCTATCCTCATCTAACCAACTCTTGCTTAAGTACATCAGGCTAGAGGAGAAGCCAGAAAGATGGGGGAGAGCAGGCTAGGCCAAGCAGGGAGAGAGGGACTCACCTGTGGGAAGAGCTGGTGTCTCCAGGATCAGGAGAAGCGGCAGCCAGGGCTTTACCATGGCCCAGCTTGAGAGGTAAAGACACTGTAACTGTAGCTCCCTCAGAAGTGGGAGGCAGGATGGCATGCCACGGGTGCCCACAAAACTGCCTTCCACACCACAGACCCAGCTGCAACTAAGCTGCTCAAAGACAAGAGATATTTCCCAGGACTAGATTAGCCCCTCCCTCTAATCTGTCTCTACCCTTTCCCTAATCCTGTGCCTGGGGAGAAATGTCTCCTATGCTGGGTAGGAATGCCTCCCTTAGCAACTCACCAATTAGTCTGAGTGGTCAATTTCTTCCATGTCGGATTCTCCCTCCTGGAAATTATGTGCAACATCATAAGGTCAATAGTATGTGGAGCTGGAAGGGACCTCATCGAAGTCCAATTCCTGCATTTAAATTTTTAAAAATTAAATTAAATTAATTCTTAAATTTTGTTTTTAATTAAATTAATTTTTAAAAATTATTTTAATTTTCAACAGACATTTATTTTTCCCCTCCCTCCCTCTCAACTTAAAATAACAAAGAAAAACAAAGCCCTTGTATCAAATATACAAGGTCAAACAAAAAAAGTTCCCACATTGTCCATGCCTAAAAATGTTTTTCACACTGCATCCTGAATCCATCACTTCTCTGTCAGAAGGAGGATATCGTGCTTGACCATCAGTCCTCTGCAATCAGGGTTGGTCAGAGATAAGTCATGTTTGTCTTTATAACGTTGTTATTTCATAAATTGTTCCCCGGGTTCCACTTGCTTTGCTACATCACTTCATACAAGTCTTCCCTAGGTTTCTCGGAACCTATCCCATTTGTAATTTTTTACAGTGTTCCATTATATCAGCTCTCTCATTTTATAGAGCAAAAATTTCCAACCCTTTTCGGTCTTTGTATCCCTTGGCTCTTATCACCTGCTCAATATAAACATTCTAGAGTTTACCAGACATGTGCACATAAGAATTAAAATAGAGATATCAATGAATGTTTTACAGAGAAACATTATTTGCTATGTAACAATATTTTTAGTATCATAAAATTGTCAGTGTTCATCAGAACATGGCAAAATTAGTTAATGAGGCCTCTGATTCTGTTTCTTATCAACCAACAGTTTTATTCCTACTATATAGTTTTTGAAAGCGATACAAGTATATATCATGTTCAGTTTCCAATGTGCTTCTTGCTTTGGATTCTGGGTTAAGTGCTGGGGATACGAAGAAACTCAAAAGCCATTCTCTACTTTTAAGGAGCTCACAATCTAATCAGCAAGACAAAATGAAACAACAGACAGACAAACAAAATGGACAGAAAGACAGACAGATAGATAGATCTTGTTTGTCTATAGATAAATAAATATGTATATAAATGTGTGTATATACAGGATAAATTGGAAATAATCAACAGACAAGATATGTATATGTGTGTGTATGTGTATGTATGTGTCGTCAACAGAGGGAAGGCACTAAAATTAAGGAGGGTCAGAAAAGGCTTCTCATAGAAGATGGAATTTTAGCTATGATTGGAAGGAAGCCAGGAGGGAAGAAAGATGAGGCAGAGCATTCTGGGTGTGGGGGACATCCAATGAAAATGCCCACAGTCAGGAGATAGTCTTATTTAAGGAACAATAAAGAGGGCAGTGTCACTAGATCAGAGAGTATATGTGGGATGTAAGGTATAAGAAGACTGGAAAGGTAGTGGGTGGGGTGGGGGAGTAGATTATGAAGGGCTGTGAATGCCAAACAGAGGATTTTGTGGTTGATCTTGGAGACGATAGGGAGCCCATAGAGTTTATTGAGTAGGAGGGTGACATACGTGGTCAGAGCTGCACTTTTGAGAACCAAGTGGAAGATGGGCCACAACAGGGAGAGGCTCGTGGCAGGCTATTGCAATAGGACTGAGAATTATAAATGGAATTCAAACCTTGTGACCATACTTAATAATACTGGAATATGGTTCTGCATGAGCACACAAAAAACTTTTGTTAACTTGGTTATAAATAAATTCAGTTTCTGGTTATTGAAAAGATGGATTAATTTGTCTTTAAATGGCTCATTATTGTTGGGGGTTTTTTCTAGCATAATATGGTAAGGGTTTTATGTATAAACCACTTTCATTTGGTTTTGGTCAGTAGGTACTATGGCTTCAACTCTTTCTTTCAAATCTTTAGATTCACTGTTATAGTCTTTCTCTTTCTTACCCTTTCCTCACAGGCATACCCTATAGGCAGGTGGTGGCACAATGGATAGAGTGCTGGGGCCTGAAGTCAGAAAGACCTGAGTTCAAAGCAGGCCTCAAGCACTTGCTCTTTATGTGAACTTGGACAAGACATTTAATCACTGTTTGCCTCAGTTTCCTCAGCTATAAAATGGGGATAATAACAGCACCTACCTGAAGGGTTGTTGTGAGGATCAAATGAGATAATATTTCTGAAGCGCTTGGCACATAATACTTATAATAATAAATAAATACTTTTCCCCTTCCCTTTTCCTCACTTCTTTGTTGTTCTCTCTCCAATCTAAATTTTTTTCCACTAACACTTTTAGAATATTTCAAGAAAATAATATAGTTATTTACAATATATTCTCTATACCCCCTTGATAAACTTTGCACATCTCTTGAGGGTTAGAAATCCCTGCAGGAGAAACAGGAGCTCAGGGGGAAAGAAAATTGTCCAAAATAATAAGTGACAGAATGGGGATTTGAATTTACATTGCTTTCATTACACATAGCTTCCCTTGGGAAGGAGCAGCTGGGTGGCTCAGTGGATAGAGCACTGGGCTTGGAATCAGGAACACTCCCGAGTTCAAATCTGGCCTCAAACACTTACTAGCTGTGTGACCTTGGACAAGTCACTTAATTGTGTTTACCTCAGTTTCCTTATCTGCAAAATGAGCTGGAGAAGGAAATGGCAAAGCACTCCAGTATCTCTGCCAAGAAAACCCTGAATGGGGTCACAAAGAGTCAGAAACAACAGAACAGCAACAGCTCCTTTGGGATAGGGGTCACAACAGGCGATAAGGGAAAGAGTTAAAGGAGGGTTCCTACCCCTAGTGCTATTCCTAGGTATTTCCCTAGAATTCCTGCCTTTGCCTGTGTGAGATATCCCCTATAGCATTTGTTCAATTCCATTCTGTCCAAATTAACTCAATTGGATTAAACTGAAATCATACTAAGCACCTCCTATGTGCAAGGAATTGTGTCAGGTGAGCAAGAGGGGGAGAAGAAGGGGAGATATGTTTAAATCAATAGGAAAAGCCATCTGCCTTCAGGGAACTTACATATTTTGTGTGGTGTTAAAAGAGAACATAATAAAGGTAGATCACTGTTGGCCATGAGATGGAGGAGAGGGGAAATTACAAAAAATTTTAAGGAGGAGGTGACATTTGCGCTGGGTCTTGAAGAAAGGGCTGAAATTCAACAGGCAGAGATCGGAGGAGAACATTTCCGGCAATTATGTGAGCACAGTCATAGAAGTAGGAGGTTTCAGAGGACAATGAATAGTCTAATTTGGCAGTGTGGGACACATGGACTGGTGAAGTATGAGGAAAGGTGGCACTAGACTGGAGAGACATATGAATGCCAAGACAAGGAGTCTGACATTGATTTGGTCAGCAATAGGTTGTTCTCAGAGTGACTTGAGAAAGGGAGTAGTGTGATCAGAACTGTGTATGTGGAAGATGATTGTGCAATGATATGAAGGTTAGATTAGAGGAAGAAGGAACTGAAAGTGGGAAGAACTGTCAGGAGATCATTACACAATTCCAAGGGAAAAAAAGAGTATCTACTTGAATAGCGGCAGAAGATAGAACAACTGTTGTACCTCTTTGTTATTGCATTCCCTCAGACATCAGGGTAGAATCATTTAATCCCACCTTCAGACTCAGTCCTGCCTCAGGGACAAATTCAGCCTCCAAGCAGGGGAATACAAGAATCCCAGGATTTTGGGTTAGGGTCCTTGGCATCCAGTGTGGTCCTTCTCTGACTTTGTGCTCCAGTTTAAATAATTGAAGATTTTATCTTATTTCTCACGACTGAGCAACTGCCTTGTACTCCAGTGCTAGAACATGGGTCCCTTTTTCATCCTGCCATATTTAAGTTCTCTGTCTAGTCCTTCAGTTCATCTAGGACTGCCAACTGGCCTTGGTCTCTTCCTTTTCCTTCCAGAGACTGAAGTCTTGACTCTGAACCCCAGTCATGGTGATTGGGCCACCACTACCCAAAGACACACTGTCCCATCATTGACTGCCTAGGTCAGTATAGTAGGGAGAATGGTTCTCTGGAGGCCGAGAAGGCACGGATAGCACTCTGGGATGCGTAGGTAAAATTCCCTGAGGACTCTCCAGCCACACCAGGAACAGCTGGACTTCAGCGGAGGGCTGATTTGGCTGACTCTCCTCTCAGGGGTTGCAGCTAAATAGATATTTACTGGAGCCATTGATTTTACCAGCTTATACATGGCAGTGAGCAGAACATGTGGTGACAGTGGGAGGTAAGCAAAGTGTAGGCAAACAGGCCAGTTGAGGTTGGGAGAAACAGTGCAGCTGCAGGTCCCACAGTGTAGGGGCTCCTGGGTCTTTTCCCACTTAGGTCTTAATTGTGGTGAATGGAGGGTTTTCACAGGTGTCTTTGTTGGTCTGGCATCTTGACATATTGTTACAGGGCCCAGACACAGTATTCTCTATATTGGGGGAGGGAGCAATGATAAAGCTATGAGCTGCCCCTTTGATTAATACCAGTTGAGCTTACTCCAGATCCCCTAATCCCTAAAGACAAGATATTTAGCAGTGGATACCAAGGACATGCCAATCATATCATGCAACAAGTCAGGCAACAAGTATTTATTAAGCACCTACTGTGTGCCAGACAGGGCAACTAGGTGGAGCAGTGGACAGAGCTTTGGATCTGAAGTCAGGAAGACCTGAGTTCAAATATGGCCTTAGATACTTACTAGCTATGTGACCCTGGGCGAGTCATTTAACCCTGTTTGCCTGAGTTTCCTTATCTGTAAAATGAACTGGAGGAGAAAATGACAAACCGCTGTAGTATCTTTGCCAAGAAAACCCCAAATGGGGTCATGAAAAGTCAGGTAGGACTGAAACGACTGGTTGTCAATAAAAACGACAAATGTGCCAGATACTGTGCTAGGTGCCAGGGATACAAAGACAAAAATGAAATAGTCCTTGCCCTCAAGGCATTTATATTCTATTGGGGAAAATAACACAAACACATTTAAGTAAATGTAACATATATAAATATTAATATATCATATATATATACATATATATATATTCAATATTATTCTCCTATTTGGTGCCATGGGAATTTGCCTGACTCAAAGGACTGGTAAAAAAGACCCACAACCCAAAACTTAAGGAAGTGGGCAGCTGATGCCGTG